TCTCTCTCTCTCTCTCTCTCTCTCTCTCTCTCTCTCTCTCTGCCTCTACTACCCTCCTGGCTCCCCTCCCCATGCCCTGAATAAACTCTATTCTATGCTATACTGTCATCCTGTGGCTGGTCCCTCAGGGAGAAGAGATGCCTCAGCATGGTCCCACTGAGACATCCCCTTCCATCACTGGTCCCCGTCCATCTTTTCACTATCTATCTAGTCTTTTATATTATCATTATTGTTATTATTATTATTTTGGTTTTTTTTTTTTTTAGGCAGGATTTCTCTTTGTAGTCCTGGCTATCCTAGAACTTGTTCTGTAGATCAAGCTAGCCTCAAACTCAAAGATGTCTGCCTACTTCTGTCTCCCAAGTGCTGGGATTAAAGGTGTATACCATTACCACCAGGCTAACCGACTTTTATGTTAAATAGAATGTATTTCTCAGAACAGTTCGCACCAACACTGAACAGAAAGTAGAGATTGCCGACACACCAGGTCTCCCACAATCACTACAACCTCCCCACTGACGACTCCCAACAGCCTTGTGTTTACAGGACTAGCTTTCTCCACAGCCCACTCCTTTCTCATGTATCTGGGCTATGGGGGGCAGTAGTTTTGAGCACTGGATCCTGAGTCATGCTCCCCACCCTCAGTCACCTAATAATCCAGGAAGTCATGAATTCCATTCTCCCTTGGTAAAGGATGTCAGCTGTACAGTAGATGTGGCAGATAAATGGAATCCAGGGTGTAACACTAACACAGGGCAGAGCTCAGAGAACTGTCTCCCAGCCCAGGCTAGGAATTCTTTGTTTATTTTCTTGAGAGGGTCTCGCCAGCCCACAATGGCCTCGCCAGCCCACAATGGCCTCAGACTGTGCAGGCCAAGATGAACTTGACCATAACCCCGTGTCTGCCTCCTGAGTGCTGGGGTCACAGGCTCGAAGTGCTGGGGACTGAGAACCTCTGCATGCTAGGCAAGGTACTCCTAGGTGAGCAACATCCCAGCCCCGAGGCCATCAATGTTTTTCTAGGATTTTCCCAGCCCTGGACTTCACCAGTGACTCTTGCGTTTCCCACTGGGGTTGACTCAGCCTGCCCCGCAGACGTGTCTAAAAGCTCCCATTTAATGTTGAGTCTAGAATTAATTCTCATCTGTCATCATGCTGAGTCACAGGGCATGTCACCCTCGGTGGCTCATGAACTTTCAGACCAGCAGCCTGGCCCTGTGGCTTCCAGGAAGTAGCCCCAGCCAGACACTCCCACCTTAAGGCGGAGCTTCATTCTCACAGGCTGTCGGGTGGAGGGTGGGTCATCTGCCCCAGTTTGGAGCTGCTAGAGAGGGAGGAGAGGCTCCTGGGGAAGACACAGTGGGCCCGGGCCAGTTCTCACCTTACTGTAGGGAGGCCATGTCTGGGCTGCACCTTCGTGACAAGAGGTGAGATCACTTATAGGCAGGTGATGACCTCATATCATCAGCTTTTGTGCTCTTTGGGTGAAGAAGGAGACTGCTCTGCTTCTCATATTTTTGTTCAAGAAACAAGGGGACAGGGAACACCAAGATCAGTGTGCTAGGCAAGGTTCTCCCAGATGAGCAACACCCCAGCCCTCAGCTGGGGAGGTGGGGAAGTCCCCAGCAGGCTTTCTGTTCTCTGCCTTGTGAGTGAGCGAGCAGCTTCTCCACGGCAGCGTGGTGCTCTCCTCCACAGCAGCGTGGTGCTCCCCAGTGACCTGGTGCTCTTCAGTGGCGAGGTGCTCTCTGAAGGAACGATGCTCCGCTGGTTTTGCTGTTTGACTCAGCTGCTCAGGGCCATTCTCTTGCTTTCACGAACCCCAAACGTTTTCACCTTTAGGAGTTCTTTCCTCTAATAAAGAAAACAAAAATCTGTTGTATACAACTGTGTTGTTATAAGATGAACATAAACCAGGGTGGATTCATTATGTAAGTAATAAATACTTTTTTTTCTTGTTTTGAGTTGGAGGGGTCTTTAAAAAAACTACTTTTTGTTTGTGTTTATGAGTGTGTGTGTGTGTGTGTGTGTGTGTGTACACCTGTACCATATGGAAGTCAGAGAGAGAGTAGAATGTCCTTGTCTGTCACCCTCCTCCTGTTCCTTTGAGGCAGGTTCTCTCTCTGAACCTGGGTCTTGTGTTTTCTTCCCTAGGCTGGAAGCCAGCAGGTCCCAGCAATCCTCCAGACTCTGCCACTGCGGGTACAGGTATTTGAGACAGGCCTGGCTTGTTACATAGGTGCAGGGATACACATTCTAGTCAGCAAGCATTCTTAGTCCCTGAACATTCTACAACCTCCTTGTTGGTGTTTTATGTAGTGTAATCTGGCCTTGAACTCCTTATACATGATGTATGTATGATATACAGCCAATGAACTC